AAGATGCTACAAGAGCCAATCAGGGCCTTCCCGCAGTCCATGATCTCGCTTTCGCAAGCGGTGATATCCCTGGAGAGATTGGATAGGTATATGATGAGCAAGGAGTTGGTTGAGAGTTCAGTCGAAAGAGTGGTAGGGTGTGGTGGGGATGGGGTTGCAGTGGAAGTGAAAGGCGCGACCTTTAGTTGGGACGATGGACGCGGACATCAAGTGCTTAAAGATCTAAACTTTGAAATCAAGAAAGGCGAACTCGTAGCTGTTGTGGGAACCGTTGGGTCCGGGAAATCATCTCTTTTGGGAGCTGTGCTTGGTGAGATGCACAAACTCTCAGGGAAGGTATACCATATATGTTCTATTTGAGCTAAGACAGTGTTTGTTATTAGTTTGATCCCAAGATTTTTGATGTTCTACCATTTTTTCTCCAATTTCTGCAGGTGCGAGTTTGTGGTTCAACCGCCTATGTTGCACAATCATCATGGATTCAGAATGGGACCATACAAGAGAACATTCTGTTTGGTTCTCCTATGAACAGGGAGAGGTATGAGGAAGTGATGAGAGTTTGTTGCTTGCAAAAAGACATGGAAATGATGGAGTACGGGGATCAGACTGAGATTGGAGAGCGCGGCATTAACCTCAGTGGTGGCCAGAAGCAGCGCATTCAGCTTGCAAGAGCTGTGTATCAGGACAATGACATTTACCTGCTTGATGATGTTTTCAGCGCCGTTGATGCCCACACCGGTTCTGAAATCTTCAAGGTGACAACTATTTTTCAACCCAAAAACCAATTTTGGCGTGACCAGAGTCCGAAGACTCTTTTTTTTATCAATTGTTTTTATGTTAAGATGAAGTTTCTTTTTTGCAGGAATGTGTGAAAAGGGCTCTCAAGGGTAAGACAACCATTTTGGTTACCCATCAAATAGACTTCTTGCACAACGTTGACATGATCTTAGTAAGTCTTTTTCCCAGGAACACTAAAAAGCATTGGCGCTTGTTTAGTTAAGACTCAACATTGGCTTTCGTTTCACAAAACAGGTGATGCGAGATGGGATGATTGTTCAATCTGGCAGATATGACGACCTTCTGAAATCTGGGTTAGATTTTAAAGCGCTGGTAGATGCTCACGAGTCTTCGCTTGAACTTGTTGATGTGGAAACCACTTCAGAGAGCCACAAAGAGTCCCACCCTAAGAGGGAACAAACCAGACAAGTGTCATTTAACCGAGCAGGGGAGAGTGGAGATGGAACTCTACAGCAACCCGATGAGTCTAGTGGGGCAAGTTCCAAACTTATAAAAGAAGAAGAAAGAGAAACCGGAACGGTTGGTTTCCATGTTTACAAACTATATTGCACGGAAGCGTTTGGTTGGTGGGGTGTCATTGTGGTTGTGGTGCTATCCCTAGTTTGGCAAGGGACTCAAATGGCAAGTGATTACTGGTTGGCATATGAAACTGCCGAAGAGCGCTCTGCATCGTTCAACCCCTCTTTTTTTCTTGAGGTTTATGGTATTATCGCAGTTGTAGCATCCGTTTTGGTAGTTCTAAGAATGTACTCTTGCGCAATCATGGGCCTGAAGACTTCTCAAATATTCTTTAGTCAAATTCTCCACAGCATTCTTCACGCTCCCATGTCGTTTTTCGACACAACGCCTTCCGGAAGAATTCTAAGTCGGGTAAGAATCATGTAAATCTTGATTATTCATTTGGTGGCCAAGATTGAATTTTGATTTATTTATTTGGCAGCTGAGGTTGAATTTTTATTTGATATGTGGATGCAGGCATCCAATGATCAGACCAACATTGATGTTTTCCTCCCATTCTTCATGAACCTCACACTTGCATTCTACATTACACTCATTGGGATCATCATCATGACATGCCAATACACTTGGCCAACTGTTGTACTTCTGATTCCACTCGGTTGGCTGAACTTCTGGTGCAGGGTATGTAGGCCATTCAAATTTCGTACCCATCCAAACCAACCGAATGATACAGATTGAATCCGACCGTTTACTATTTCAGGGATACTTTCTTGCAACTTCGCGCGAACTGACAAGGCTAGACTCAATCACAAAGGCACCAGTCATCCATCATTTCTCAGAAAGCATTGCTGGTGTCATGACCATACGTTGCTTCAGGAAACAAGATGGGTTCAGCCAAGAAAATGTCAACCGGGTCGATGCTAACTTGCGAATGGATTTCCACAATAATGGGTCCAACGAATGGCTCGGGTGCCGGTTAGAACTCATTGGAAGCTTCATTCTCTGCACCTCGGCGCTGTTCATGATCGTGTTGCCTAGCAGCATCATCAAGCCTGGTATAATATCCTTTTTTTTACAATTAGATTTCTTGTTGTTGCCTAAATGGGTTGTTGTTGCCTAAATGGCTAAATCGTATCTTTTATGGGTTGTACAGAAAATGTTGGGTTATCTTTGTCATATGGATTGTCCCTCAACGCCTCGCTCTTCTGGACTATATTTATTAGTTGCTTTGTGGAAAACAAAATGGTATCTGTTGAGAGGATTAAGCAGTTCACAAACATACCATCAGAAGCAGAATGGAGAAAGAAGGATCTTCTTCCACCTCCAAACTGGCCAAACAAGGGAAATGTTGAGCTCCAAGACCTGCAGGTGAGTTTTGTTCATTTATTCTCAATTCCACAATTGCAACTAAAATTAGATGAGAATGTGTTACATTATAAAACTTGACATGGTTTCAAAGAATTAATATTGATAATGTGATTTGAATCTATCCGATGAACAAACAGGTCAGGTACCGCCCGAACACGCCTTTAGTCATTAAAGGCATAACTCTCAGCATTGAAGGGGGTGAGAAGATTGGGGTGGTTGGTCGGACGGGCGGGGGGAAATCCACCCTCATCCAAGTGTTCTTCAGGTTGGTGGAGCCCACAGCGGGACGGATAGTCATCGACAACATCGACATTTCCGTCCTCGGACTCCATGATCTCAGGTCCCGCTTCGGAATCATACCGCAGGAACCGGTTCTCTTTGAAGGAACCGTGAGGAGCAACATAGACCCCATTGAACAGTACTCAGATGAAGAAATATGGAAGGTAATAATGTCAAAGGCTCACATGATCTTTGGGCATTATTGGTATACTTTACTTTTTCGAGTATTATTAACTCGATTTAAATAGAGTATCTGCGTGTACATACTTTCTCAACCTACTGAAGCACAAAGAGTCAATGTTTCCCATTGGGGTTCAAACCGGGGACCTCTCAATTGGGAGGGCCACAAGGTCTTTTTCACATTTTTGGCTTAGTGATTCTTTTGCTTCATAAACTCTTTTTATATTGCAGAGCCTAGAACGTTGCCAGCTTAAAGACGTTGTAGCTTCTAAACCGGAGAAACTTGGCGCTCCGGGTACCCTTCTTTGAATTTCTTTTCTTTTAGATTCAAGAAACGATATCATTTCTTTCACATTTCATCTTTCCAGAACTCACCAAACTGGCCCTCTCTTTTTCCTTTTTTTTTTGGTGTTGCACATAGTTGCGGATAATGGAGACAATTGGAGCGTTGGGCAGAGGCAGCTTCTCTGCTTAGGGAGAGTGATGCTAAAGCGAAGCAAGCTTCTGTTCATGGACGAAGCAACCGCATCCGTTGATTCACAAACGGACGGCGTGATTCAAAAGATCATCCGCGAAGACTTTGCTTCATGTACAATAATCAGCATTGCTCATCGGATACCCACCGTCATGGACTGCGACCGGGTCCTTGTCATTGATGCAGGTTAGTTCTTTATCTAACTCTAAGAAACCAACTCAACCAGAAGTTTATCTTTGTGTTTTCTTGTACCTCAGTATCTGTCTGACACTGAGGTTCGAACTCGTGATTTTCTCGGGTCAACCAAAAGGTCAACGTTCCGTTGTGGGCCCAAGAAAGGGGATTTGTCTAGTGTCACAACAACAAGATGCATGTTTCATGTGAATCATTGACACTAAAAAAACATCATCATCTTGTTGGTTTTTTGTTGAACAGGAAAAGCCAAGGAATTCGACCGGCCATCGCGCTTGTTGGAGAGGCCCTCGCTCTTCGGGGCTCTGGTTCAGGAGTACGCGAACCGGTCGTCTCAACTCTAGACTTATTTGTCTCTCTGTTTGGCTGTCAAGAAAATTTCCTCCGGTGCAGACGTACGGAGCATCGCATTTTATTTTATTTTTGCTGATAGAAAATGTTGTTGTAACCTTAGAATAATATAATGCTCATTCATCTTCTTGAGCTCTTATGTAAACTTAAAAAGACACTTTGTATCTTTATGTTCTTCCCACATTTGTCCACATCATTAATGAAATTCATCTGCAGTTTCATTGTCTCAACCATATTTTGCACTCGTCTTTCTAGTTTTTTCATGTGTGTACACACACGCACATTTTTTAAAGTACGGAATATAAAATAATACAGAGTGTAATTTTAGAAATTAAATTAATTGATCGGTGAGCATAGTTCAACTGGTTAATGTATAGAGAGACAATTATGCAAAAACTTGTGTAAGGATACAAGATTTCAACCATGCGAGATGGAGTGAAGATTAAGAAAAATTAAAATTAAAAATAGTGATTAATTATTTTTAAACATAAATTATCTTCTAAACAAAAGTACTGATTAATTTATTTTTACACACAAATTGTCATGCAATTTAGACTGCTGTGTATGCAATCTAGATGGCAGAGTATGTGAAAACATAAAAATTCATTTTTGCAAAAATGAAAAATATTGTACAATTTGGAGTAAAATATTGTCCAATATTACTCTTAAATTGGGATGTTATATATTTTATATTTTTCATTATTATATTCACTTAATTTTTGATCTATTATTAAAATTATAATGAACATTAACATGTGAATGGAGGGAATACTTTAAAAAAATGGTTTATGAATAAGTGAGACACAAGAGACCACCAGATTTGTACAAATGAAAGAATCGAAGGGCCATTTGGTCAAATTCCGTTCTAATACATATATGGAGCATAAATTTGAATCTGGCACGCAATTGCTCTCTGCAAAACCCTAACCCTAAACCCGCTTCCCCTTTCACCGAGGAGAGCAGATGGGGAGGTCCAGAAGGAAATACAAGAGATCAAGGCCTAAGGTGCGCGTCGGATTGCCTAAGAAGCACCCAAATGTGTTCAAGCCGGCGTTCAATTTGCCGCCGAAGCTCCGGTCTCTCATAGATCCCCACTCCAAGTGGGACGAGAAGCGCAGCGTCATCGAGAACTACAAGTCCTTGGGCTTCGTTTCGAATCCCAACTTGCTTGGCGTGTGCTCTCGCACCCCCCACACCCTCGAAAGCGACTCTCTTCAGATCCCGCCGCCAGTTTCCGCCGCCGCCCCTGGCCCCGACGCCGAGTTTGAGCCTCTTGATTCCGGCAGCGATCTAGAAGAAGATGGTCAGTATCATGTCCCGATCCCACTTCCCTTACACAATATGACCATTTTTATTGTTTACTGCGCCATCTATTATGATGATTTGTTTCATGGCAATGATGATTTACAGTTCCTTTATGTTTGATTTCCTAGTTTCTATTAATACATTTTTTGACTCAGAGTCATTAATGAATGGATTCAGTGATTATATTAATCAGATGTTTAGCATGTACCAACAAAACCAAATTTTGATCTGTGCATTGAGTTTCTGTATTAAAAAAGCTATGGAGAATTACAGCCTTATATTTTCACTTAGCAACTGTAGAATTAGAAAACCAAAATTAAACTTAAATGGGTTGATCTCTTAGGGTATGTTTGGATGGATGGTTTTTGAAAGGATGGTAGGTCTAGTATATATCTTGATAAGTAGAATATTTCTAAAAACAAAGGGTGATTAAAATATAACTACCTCTGTTCCCTCTAGCTTCTGCTTCCTGTTTTGATCGTTGCCAATTGGTATCCCTTTTTCCTTATAAAGAAAGAATTCTGAATTCCATACTGATTCTTTCATTCTAAAAAAAAAAGAATATTATGTTACAGGTAGCCCTCCAATGCTAAGCTCCCAAACTTCGTGTCGTATGTAACTCTTGCAATTTTTAGTCTCGACTATTTATCAATGTATCGACTGTCATCCAAAGTCTTCCAAGACCCTTCATCAAAATATACTCTTAATGGTAAGTATGGATGGAGTGTTTTGGAGGATGAGACTTTGGAGGTCATATCATATTGTTAAATAGAATGTTCTTAATTTGAGTAAATGTGGATTTAAATAATTAAATGTCACTCCATTTTTATATCCATGTATATCAAGAAGATGTAGACCTAGCCTTAAAAAAATCTTCCTCCAAACTGGCTCTAGATGGCGTGCTCTCCTGTTCCAATTACATCATGATTCTTATTGTATACTACCATTTTTGGGGTCTGTGCAGATCTTAAGTCAGCCCTTGGGAAGAAACGGAGAGATGGAAAGAGTGCACCTCCACAACCACTAACAACTATGCAACGGGTTTGTATTCGAAGACTTGTGGATGCATACGGAGATGACTACCAGGTATGAATGAGGTCTTATTTGAAAGCCAATCTATGTCACTTGTGATTAATGTCATGATCTGTTTCTTAGTTCGAAACATTTATTTCCCTCAGAAAATGTTCATGGACACAAAACTGAACAAGATGCAGCATTCGGTAGCAACACTGGAGAAACTATGCAAAAGATATCATTTGTACCCAGATAAAAACCCCTTGATTTTGGGTAGTTAGAGAGCACACAAACATGTTGTACGATTCAAACCATTTGTGGTCAGCTTACAGGAAGCCATTTTACCCATCTATGTCTACATGTTCAATGTAAAAAAATGGGTTCAGGCATGTGAGGTGACATCTTTTTCTTCACGTGTCTTTGCTGATACCAGTATTCTACGAGTATTTCGGCTAAGGATGTTTTATGGACTATGCCATTTTGAATTATTGTTGAAATTGAAGATTGATATCTTCACAATCGAAATTAACTACGGCTAATGCGACTAAATCGGATATAGATGATAAATGGTATGATCTTGTATCACCATTCTTCTACCAATATATTTCAACTGAATTTTCATTTTGATGCATTCTCATTCTTCTTTCACAAAGCCAAAAAAGGTGCAGAAGAAATTGGGACGGAGGTGCAGACATGGTGTGGGTGTGGGGTGTGAGAAAACCAGATATGAATAAAGACAATAAAAGTAGTATCCTTCTTCCATCCCAAATTAAGTTTTAGTTGATTTTAATAGAAAAATGAATTTTACTATTACAATTTAGTAGACGTTTTTCTGTGTTTATGAGTTAGTCAAAACAACTTATTAGTTATTTTTAATTTATAAGCCATTTGATTATGTATATATTTTGTAGAGTCAAGCTAGAAACCCACCAATTCTGACATGAAGAGTTTGACGCTAATTGTTTCAAAGACTAATACAATTATTGTATGTGTACAATGATTGTCTCTGTAACATTTGGTGTGAAATTCATGGTGTTAAACTTGGGATGTTTTCAGCTTTTTTGAGTGCCTTTGAGACGATTTTAAATTATTTATTTATTTTAGATGTCATTTTTTCATTTTACAAAACTTACCTAATATTTTATGCATATCTCCAAATAAATCATTTACTCCTTAAAATTTATGCCTTGATACAAAAAATACTTTGTACTTTAATAAACAACTTATAAGTAATTAAATGCCTTAAAATACCTTAAAATACCTTTTAGTAATGGTCTAATATATATTTGTTTATAAATTTTTCATCCAATAATGCACATTGAGCTAGTGCCTACGTCTCTATTTGAACTCGAATTTTGGTAAACTTCTTCATAATATTTGAGGGTGAGCTTTCTACTGATCTAGCCAAGGGAAGGAATCATTAAAATTTAGAGTTTGTTTGACTTCATGGCCTGTTTGGTGAGCAATGAGATGTGACTTTTCATATCTTACACTCAGATTTCTTTGTTGTTGTTTGGTGATGCATAACAGAAATTCAATACGGTTTGGTGATGCATAACAGAAATTCAATAATTGATTTATCCAGATATCACAAATCTTTCCAATGAAGGGTTTGTATCTCCTAAATACGGGAGATATCAATATGAAAGTTTGATATTTTCCTAAGCCCTCAACAACCCCCATTGACTACCACCACCACTGCAAACCATCCATGTAGTCGACTACCATTATTTATCACTAATTAAACCAATATTTTATATTTATTAAATAACGCTATTTAAGATTTAAAAATCCATACTATTTCTTCAGATTTCAAAATTTTCATCATATTATAAATTTAAAAAAAAATCAAAAATTAATTTATATTCGTACCACCAAAGTTCACGTGACATTGATCATCAATGTCACCTATAGTTTTCTATTCAATGATTCATGGTTCCTACTTCTAAATCCCCATTTTTTTCCGATTGGCTTCATGAATCACTGTAGCCAATCGACGAAGAGATGAAGGGGGGAAAGTCAAAGGAAGATTTAAAAGGGTTAGAAGAGAAATGAACTATTCATTTTCTGAACGAAGTAGCATAGAATTCGTAAGTCATCCTAATAACACTAGTGAACGTCCCAAGAATGGCCCCCATACTTGTACTAAGGCGTGTCAATGGGTCGAGTCTAGATTCGAACTCGAAAAATATACACAACTTTTTTGCGAGTTGGTTCTTTAAAAATGTAATTTACTCATTCCTGAACTCATTCGGATTCAGATAAGTCATATCAGATTCATTCATATTAGTTTAGATTAAATCAGATTCATTCAAATTGGTTCAGCTCAGATCAGATCCTTTTATATCATAAAATTATTTATAAAATAAAAAATAATGTTAATAATTATTAATAGTAATTAATAACGTTAATATTTATTAATAGTAATTAATAATACTAATTAAAATAATAATGATTAAATCCAAACAATACTAATGATAATAATTATTTTTAACAAATAATAATAATTAATAATAATAATAATAATAATTAGTAATAATAATAATAATAATAATAATTTATAATAATATTTATTTTTTAATATAATAATAATTGATAGTTTTCATCATTAATGATAACACTTAATATTCATAATAATTCGTATTATTTATAAAACTAAGAAATATGATATATGATGAAAATAATACAGAGTAATAATTAACAATTACATAATTACTAATAATAAAAATTAGAATTTTAATACTATTAATTAAAACTACAAATGATAATTAATATTATTAAATGTAATTACTAAAATAATTATCATTATTTTTATTATTATTATAATAAACTATAATTAGTAATGAAAATCATCATCATTAATCACAACACTTAATAATAAAAATAAAGATAATAATAATAAATAGAATTATTTAAAAAATTATAGTAATAATAATTGATAATTACCATTATAATTATTTATAATAAAAATTATTATTGTAATACTAGTAATAATAATTATTAAAATATTTAATAATAAATTAATATTATTATCATATGTTTTGATTAATAATGATAATTATCATCAATAATCATAACACTAAATATTAGTAACAATAATAATTAATTTTAATAATATAATTATTAAACTAATAATGATAATAATAATAATTATTATTAATAATAAAAATTATTATTTTATTAAATTAACAATAATTTTTAATAATTAAAATTAATAATAATTATTATTAATTTAATAATAATAATCATTTGAATTTAAGTTAATTCCATTTAGACTAGATAAAATCTATTCAGATCATATCAATTTAGATGAGATCAGATATATTAAGATGAGTTTAGATGAGATCAAAGTAAGTTTGAAAAAGAAAAAAAATGGTAGGAGTACACCAAAGGTGTATCAAGGTGTACCCCATATGTCCTCACTCCCTCTTTGTGCACATAAATAGGCAAGAAATTCAAAATAAATAAATAAATAAAAATCAAATAAAAATGTGTGAATGGAAAAAGAAGGGTGATGTAGGGTACACGTTTCTTCTTTTGAAAATATCAGCGGAAGAAAACTCAGCCTTATTTCTCCGTATAAAATAGCCACCTCCTCCGTAACGAGGCACGCGTAGAAACCCTACGTTCCTACTACGCCGCGCCGGTCCAACCGTCTCACTGCCGACGTTCACCCCGCGCCGTCCTATCTGCGATTTGGGACTAAGTGAGCACAGCCCACTGTGCCACTATCCGACCTCCGCGACTGCCCATCGACGTATTCCATCCGATTCCGATCTGAAGTTTCTATTCCGCCCAGAATGAGGTAAACAATTAACATTAAATTCGAATCTGAATTACTTAATTGATTTTTGCATTTTATTTTTTTATTTAGTTTGTATGTTTCTTCTTTAATTTGATGTTTCTTATTTAATTTGTATTTTCTTGTAGCGTACAATGTAAATTGAGTTCTATTTGTGATTTTAGAGTTGGAATTCTTAATTTTCTCTTTATTTATGGACAGTTTATTATTTAGTGCAGCATTAACAAGATTAACAATTTAATGTTTAGTTTATGTTGATGGTTCATAGTTGATCAAATTACATAATCGGTTCTCCTTTCCTCATATTGGATAACTTTGTATTTATTTAAAAGATTTTATGTTGATAGTTGATTTTCTCATTGTGATTAATATTTTTTTTGAAAACATCTCTACTTCCCAGTAGCCGGTTAACTGTATATAATGAAACTTACTAACTTCTGTATCCGTTTTGCCTTGATGCAGCCGGCCAATGGAGGAAGATGTCCCTGTAAGTTTCTCTTTATATCTTGAGTGTAATGTGTGACACATTTAATATTGACTTCCTTGTTGTCAATCATTAATCACTGTTGGAATTTGAGGCCATGATCCTCTATCATATGCTTTTATGGCTTAAAACATTTGTTGCTTCTATTGTAGAACCAATTGCGAAAAGGTAAAAGCCTTCTGCATTTTTTCCGTACATAAGAAGTTCAGTCTTTGAGGGAATTTAGGACCTCAATCTACACAACATTTTCACCCTTCAGTTCTTTCTGCTTTCACATCTTTCTCTATTTATACGCATTTTTATCACAAAAAATTCCAGATTCTCAAGGTTAACTAATTTGTGGCATCTGCATATCCTTCATCGACATTAATTTTGAAAGTCATGTTGCAGCTATTGCACTGTACAGTCTAATTGTAATTAACGATCTTCAATATGGTCCACAAACCATCCATCTTTCATTATTTAGCTAGTTATCCATGTGTATGCTCCTTGTATGTTTCACATCGCAACGAATAACCTTTTTTTCATTTTGTTTTAAGTGCTGAGTATTTTGCCTGACACAATGTTTTAAACAGGGAAAGACTGAGGAGGAAGAGTTCAACACTGGACCACTCTCTGTCCTCTCAATGAGTGTCAGAAACAACACACAGGTATCTGGGAACTTGGTGCATACCTCAAATATTTGTTCTAGTAAATTTCCCCAAAACAACCACACCACACTTTTCTCCTCGTATGTATGTATGTGTGTGTGTGTGTGTGTAATATTTGGTGAGTGACCTATACTCATGTCTTCTCCTTTTAGCTGAGTTTGAGAATCAGATTTTTGAAATACGTACAATTTGTGTTTGATGATAACAATAAAGAATTGACAATGTGATTGGGGATAACAATAAATAATTGTTTCCCAATTCATTTGGTTCTGCTGTCATTATGAGAATGTTTGAACTCACCAAGGAAAGTTTGTACAAACTTTATGTTTGTTTACACACACAATATTTTTATTCAAATTATTTGTCACATGTGAATTTTCAAAAAAGGATCGAGAAGTTGTATTTTTCTCAAATAAATATGACCCACATATTACTACATTTTACTTCACGAATATTTACATATCTAGAAGGAATTGTTTGGAAATACATTTTAAGACTGATTTGAAGCAGAAAATAATTGGTCCTATTCAGTTTTGTCTTAGAATGTATTTCTAAACAAACTATAATTGATATCTAAATACTTGTGAGGTAGGGAGTGATACATGGGTTCTATTTATTTTAGAAAAAATTACAAATTCTTGATCTTTTAAAAAAATAGAACGCGACAAATAATTTGAACAAACCTTCCTTTGTGAGTCCAAATATTCTTGTTTACTAGTTCACTCACTAGACATTACACATTAATAGATGTCTTTGTTTAAAATGAATTTGCTAAATCTTAACATGATGAGAAACTCAAGTGTGTGTGTGTGTGTATATATATATATATATGTATATATGAAATCCCACCAATATATATTCGCTCGGTTCCTAAATGTGCATCTCACAGTCCACCTTGCTTTGGCATGCTCATAAGAATTTGAATTTTTGTGGTTGACATATATTAAAAAATGAAGGAATATATCTGAAAAGCAATTCTTTCATTTAAAGGGTAGGAGAAGAGTACTATTTTTTTGAAATGTACATAAAAGGAAAGTGACAAGTTAATCGGATCTATGCTGTATAAAATTGAATTTGTGGTTGACATTTATTTAAAAATGAAAAAAAATATAAAAAAATCATTTCTTTCATTTAAAGAGTAAGAGAAGTGTGTGACATTACATTGTTTTGAAATTTAAATAAAAGGAAAGTGACAAGTTAATATGATCTATTCTGTATAGTTTTTTTTTGAAAAGGAAAAGTGAATTTGACCTGTTTTTGCATTTAGGTCCTCATCAACTGTCGTAACAACAGGAAGCTTCTAGGCCGCGTTAGGGCTTTTGATCGTCACTGCAACATGGTGCTGGAAAATGTTAGAGAAATGTGGACTGAGGTCATACGTTTTTTGCTCTACCGGTTTTTTCATAAACTGCTTCAACAATCCCCCACCCGTCATTTGTTTTGACATATTTTAATGTTCTCTCCAGGCTCCCAAGACTGGCAAAGGGAAAAAGAAAGCCCTACCTGTTAACAAGGATAGATTCATCAGCAAGATGTTCCTTCGTGGAGATTCAGTGATCATCGTCCTCCGAAACCCTAAATAGACGGTATGTGCTTTGCTTGATTTTATGCTTGACTCTGGCTCCGTTCCGTTCAACTTATTTTTTCTGATCTGATCTGATTCTAATAAGTTCTGATCTGGTCTGATCTGATCTAATTGGATCTGATCTGATTGGATCTGATCTGATCTGATTGGATCTGATCTGGTCTGGTCTGATCTGATTTGGTCTGATCTGATTAATTATGATTTAATTTAAAATTTCAAATCAATAATTTAATTTGACTTTATAATAACGTTTGAAAATTGTAATGATAATTCATATTATAATATAATCAATATTTTTTATTTAATGATTATTTTTTAATAAAATAAAAATAGTTAATTCATATATTAGAATAATCATTCATATTATAATGTAATAATATTTTTTATTTTATGATAATTTTTTTGTAAAATTAGAATTATACATTAGAATAAATATTTAATTTAGATATACATTAAAAAATAATTAAATTTAGATAATCAATATATAGAAGAGATAGTATTTTTATTAAAATATCTCATCCTTATAAAAGATCAAAAGTTTAGAAACTCAAACTACAAGTAGCAATAAAAATATATTTTAAAAGTAGAATTAGATTGATATTGTCAATGTATTTTAAAACTAATTTTTCTGACGTCTAATAATTAAGGATTACTTTCTTAGTTTTCTATTTAACCTATTTCTAAAGTTTATTCTTTTTCATTTTTAAGAACAATAATAATAATAATAATAAAAATAATAATAATAATAATAATGATGATGATAATGATGATGATGATCATAATAATAATAATAATAATAATAATAATAATAATAATAATAATAATAATAATTCTTGATGAGATCTGATTTTAATAAGTCCTGATCTGATATGATCTGATCTGATCTGATTCGATCTGATCTGGTCAGATCTGATCTGATTTTAATAAGAATAAGAAAAAATAAGAAAAAATAAGTTGAACGGAACGGGGCCTCTGTATTGTACCGTCAAATCAAAGTCTTGTGCGTGAGTCTAACTGTTCCAATTGCCTACACGTGTTGCATAGGTTGCTGCAAGACTGTCCGTCCAATCTCCTACTACAGTCGCGAGGCCTACTCTTATGATCTAGTGTTCTGAGCTTTAGACAGATGGGGTATTATCGGACTGCTTATTATTACATGCGTTGTAACATGATGGAGCTAACAACTGTTTTTTTCTGCTGCCACTATTTCGTTTTGAGTACTTTCTCTTCCTGATTCTAAGATCATATCAACTTTTTGCACAAAATCTGACTTGAAGTTTTTCAGTTTTCTTTTACTGCGCGAGGGTAGAGACAATGCCTTCTTTGTCTCCATAGATGGTGTTGCCCGAAATATTAATCCATACTTTAACGCTTTCTAAATCGGTAGCTTTGTAAATTATTACGGAGTACGTCTTAAGATGCCCCTCACCGGCTTGTGGAGACTGCACACTCATTTCTTAGGCACGAGTCTTGGTCGGGCTTCATAACGTGCTTAATGATTAAGACCCGAGCCTAGCCCGCAAGAGAACCCATATGCTTCGGCTTGGCTTGGCTCGGCCTGTGTTCATAATAAATATTAAATAATTAAAAAGTCTTTAAGAGTAAAATTATACTCCCTCCGTCCCATTTTATAATGCCTGTTTCGGTTTACGATGTTTGACTGAAATTATTTTCAAATCATTTTATATGACAAATGATATATAGTTAAAAAATAAAAATTACATATTAAAATACTACATCAAAAGATTTACAAAACTAGTAGTGACAATAGTACTTTATTTTATCATATTGCTAACGAAAATAGAGAAAGAAAGTGAATGAAGTTTGATCATGTGAATAGTGAACAAACGTTATAATTTGGGACGGAGGGAGTATTTTACTGGAGAATATATTAGATGCATGATTCAAAAATCACTCTGTATGATAAATAACTAACCAACGAACAAATAACATATGCAGATTATTTTGTGTGATATTATTAATAATCATTAATAAAAATATGTTCAATTGATTAAATTAACTTAGAACTCTTTCTTTTCATAGAAAAATGTTTGTAAATTAAGCCTAACCAAAGTGCGCGTCGAGCTAGATTAGGGACTGGTTGAAATGCTACATTACGAGAATGTTTCAAGCACTAGTCTTGGCCGGGCTGCATAACCCGCAAGAGAACCTACAGGCTTCAAGCCGACTCAGCCCGCATTCATAATAAATATTAAATAGTTAAAAAAAGTCTTTAAGAATAAAATAATATCTTACTCAAGAATATATTAGATGCATGATTCAAAAATCACTCTGTATGATAAATAACTACCCAAGGAACAAATAACATATGTAAATTCTTTTGTGTGATATTACTAATTTTATTTTTTATAAAAACAACAATAAAAATAGGTTCATTTGATTGAATAGACTTAGAACTCTTTCTTTTTCATAGAAAAATGTGTGTGTTCATAATAATGGTAATATTCAGTAATAAATTTTATTATTGTTATAATTGTTATTAATCATATTGTTATCATTGTTTCAAGTATTATTATGTTATTAACTATTATTATTAGGTTAGGCCGGCCTGCGGGCTAGGCCCTTAAGTTTGTAGTCCTTCGTTCATAAACTCTAAGTCTGGTCCATGCCTTAAAAATCTAAGCTCAAGCCCACTAGGTTTGGGAACCTAGGCATCTATAAAAAATGAAACTTAAGTACAACACAATTCACACAATAATAAAACTAGATTTGAATTTTATAAACATGATGAAGATATATAAATAAACTTATTACTCATATACATTTATAATATACAAAGCATATGTATATATATGTTCAGTTCGAGATTTTTGATAAATTATTCTACGTATCTCGTATTATTATTACTTCATGCATCCCAATTTCAATTGTCACTTCGGTTTATAGTGTATACTAGTCACTACAAAATTCTTTCACAGTGTTGTTTTTGAATCGACATATTTGGATTTAATTATTGCATTTTTTGAAAATATTTGGAACCTGTTCGAAAAGTGATCACTCTTATAATTCAAAATATCTCCTTGGTTTTCATGACATTGATTCAATGTGATGGGATGCCTTAAATTCTTACGGTATTCTGTTTGAAAAATTAATGATTTCACCCCAAAATATATGGGTTGATTACGGACTGCCCAGGTCAAATATTGGTGTACCCAAGTGGCCAAGTCCAAACCGAAAATCTCAAAGCCCAGCCCGTTAAAACTGAAAGCCTAATTAATTAAAAATCTACTCCGTATTCTCCTTCTTGTGTCGTTCCCTCCACGCCGCCGCGCCTGACTCCACACCAGCATCAGCCCTCTCGCCGCGTCCCCCTCTTCTCCACCAGGCGGCCGCCGTCCAGGCCTCAGCTTGTCAGCGCGGAAGTACCACAGGTCCACAGCCGCGTCTCCTTGGAGGTATTTCAATTTTTATTTTTGTATTTCATAAATAGAATTTATTGGCCCATAACATAGGTTTATGGTTTATGCGTTGATTATTTTGTACGTTTTAATTTTTATTTGCCCTATTCTGTTTCTATTTCGTATGTAATCAGGGTGCGATTTAATTTCTTTTAGGCGTTTCAGCAGTTTATCTTTGCTTAAAATAGTGTTCTGTATTAATGTGGATTTTTGAATGAAATCGTTAAGTGTGAGACAAAATTGAGAAAAGTGAAACATTTAAAATATGATAATTGTACTAAGATATATTTAATTTTTAATTTTTTATATTTTACCTTTGTGAAATTCATTTTTAATTTTTAATGTTATCATTTAGATCGCTGACACTCAGCCAAAAGCAACCCAGAAGAGGACAAAGAGAGCACAGCACACTTAAAAAGTAAAACAGGCTCCTAGGGTTTGGACTAGCTGTTCCAATTTGGTGAAGAGATGGCTCGATTTAAAAATGTAAGTAATTGAATATGGAGTATAGTTTTCTTGAGCTTCATTTTCATTTTGCAGCCGTTGGGAATTATGATCAAAATAAATTGTTAGTTTTGTCCTAAGGTATTGGAATCCATTTCAATTTTCAGAGAAAAAGGAATTTTTCAGTGAAGCCCACCAACAAGAAGCAGAAGACTGTTGATCATATTACCGGAGACAAGATTCCCAAGAGCTTTGTATTTTCTAGAGGGAAGCTACCTGCTTCTCTTAGGCAATTGCAAATGGACTTGAGAAAATTGATGCTTCCCCATACTGCCCTCAAACTTAGGGTAAGCCGTTCGTTTGGGGATTTCATTACGGTCTTACATTAAATATGCTTGTTCTATTAGGCTTGTCAAGTATACAAGTTCTCATTTGAGAGATATAGGCTCTGGTACCATAGATATTGTAATCGATATATTGAAACAGAGAACTACATACATTATATTTAGTACAAGTCCTATGTGGAGCTACGACCTAGGAGATAATATTAACATTTGAATAAAACATTGATAGTAACAACAAAGATATATGAACTGTTATAATCTACCGGAGTAGGAGTATTTAAGCAATTAAGACTCTCCATACTAATGTCTGGTTATTAAAACAACAAAAAAAGGAACATAGTTATGGGTGAACTTCTTCGTCATTGAAGTATCTCTTATTATACCGAGTTGCTAAATATTATCTCCATCCGGATTTAGTGGACCACTTTCTTGTTTTTGTTAGTCCGTAATTAGGTGTCCAAGTTCCATATTCAACATACGTAGTAGAATTTATGATGAGTTATGTAAAATATCCTAAAGATGGGGCATTGGTATTCTTCACATCAATGAGCTATACTCATTTGAATGACTTATCTGACATTGTAAATTTATTTCCTAAAAAAATAGAGTTTTCAGAAAGTTCATAAGTAAAATATGCCGAGGGAGCCATCCGTTGTGCAACAAAACTCCTTAATTGACTTGAGTTTAATAAAAGTGTTGAAAAATAAAATGTGTACAGTTGGAATTTGTTTAGAAGAGAGGAAATGTTGTGACTCACCTTTTTTTAAGAACGACTTTAATTGTAGGATAACAAAAAATGGAAACTAGGATTTTAATTGCGGGAAAAGAACATTGGGAGTATCTAGGAGTTCAAATGTATTTCATTGATATACACTTGTGCAAGAGTAAACTTCAGTCTTTAGGTGGGTTGTACGTGTATTGATCTGACTTTCTCCCATTTCTTTGCTGTCTTGCAGGAAAAGAGGCGTAATAATCTCAAAGATTTCTTGAATGTTGCAGGGCCAATGGGTGTCACACATTTCCTCATGTTGTCAAAAACCAGTACTTGTCCCCAATTACGTGTTGCTCGGACCCCTCAAGGCCCAACACTTTCTTTTAAAATACTTGAGTATTCCTTGGTGGCTGATATAGCCAAATCTCAATTGCGTCCAAGGTGTCCTCCAGATCTTTTCAAAAACTCCCCATTGGTAATTTCACTCAAACAATTCCACATGCTATCATCTTTACCAAGAAACTGCACCTCATGTTGTCAATAACTGCACAGTCTTGATTCAGTTATTGTTTTTGTATTTAATTGTTAACTTCTTGAGTTAATTGTTACAGATTGTGCTGTCTGGTTTTGGGACTGGGGAGCAACATATGAAGCTCACAACTATTATGTTTCAGAATATTTTCCCTGTCATTGATATAAACACTGTAAGTGGACATCATGACACGAATCATAGTTTTCTTTTCTTTAGTATCAAAATTAATCGTGTATATCATCTTATTTCTTCCATTCTGACCAGTCATTACCCATGTTGCAGGTGAAGCTTTCTTCTTGCCAAAGGATTGTGCTGCTTAACTATGACAAGGAGAAAAAACTTATTGACTTCAGGCATTACTCAATCAGATTGCAGCCTGTTGGGGTTTCACGCAGGATAAGGAAATTTGTGCAAACCCATCAAGTGCCTAATCTAAGCAATCTCCGCGATATGAGCGACTTCATTGCTAAGTAAGCAAGGCTTTTCTATTTCTTGAATTATTTTCTTTTTTCATCGACTTCCTTTCTATTAATTTTTCAAGGTACCTGAAATTTTGTTCTTCAATAATCTAAAGAATATCAATTATCTCTCTCTTTCTCTCTCTCTCTCTCTCATTAATGAATTAGGAAACTTTTTCTATTTGATTGAGTTATTTGGTTCATTTTCTCCCATCTTTTGTTTACAAGGGCTGGCTATGGATCGGAAAGTGAGGCAGATGATGAGGCAGCTATGGTGAATTTACCAACTGATATTGGTAGAATAAATAAAGCCTCCACAAAAAGTGCTGTCAGACTTCAAGAAATTGGACCTAGGATGACCCTCCAACTAGTCAAGATTGAAGAGGGTTTATGTTCTGGGGGAGTCATCTTCCAAGAATATGGTAATGCTTCTTTTCCATACCAAGTTTTTATGATCTTAATTACTTCTCAAAGAATTACAGTGCCCGGTTGTTTAGAACTGAAAAAGCATCTGCCGTGTCGCTGCCTTATAGCAATACTTCCAAGTCCCGATGAAATAGTATCCGTCTTTTGCATAAACTTGCAGGAAATAATGGCGGTGCTGCGAAGCAAGACGGAGTTGAAACTGAAAACAAACAAGAAAGTGAAGGGGATGAGGATGAGGAAGAAGTTGAAGAGGAAGAACAAGAAATTGAAGAATGATAATTAAGTTGTTCACAAATTGAGTATTGGCAATGTCTTCAAAATGTTTTGTGTTGTTTCTTAAAGATGTGTTTAATTGGTTAAACCACCAGGAGGATGAAAATTCAGATTCCCTTGCTCAAGGATTGGAGTTACAGAAATCTGTTGGTACAACATATTTTTTCTTCTTATTTTCAGTCATTAGGATTTGCTCACAGTGCAAATGAACATCATTTTTTTTTTGTATACAAAAACAAGTGCATTTTCTTTATAAAAAAATCTTTAATGAGATCAAGAATATGCTTTGCCCAATCAAAATGAATGCATAAGCTGTATGTCTAAGCCTTGATTCCAATCATTACAGAAAAATGCCAGCCCAGTACACAAGACCTAAACAAAAAATGGCAAAATAATTTTTCTTATTTGGTTAGAGAGAAAATAATAATGGAAGGAAAAGAAAATAAGAATGAAAATTGTACTAAGAGGAGGGAAAACATAAAACCTCCCATTTTCTGCCCTATTTAGGTGTGATGAATATATATGGCTACGAGCAAATCTCATTTTTTGAAACAAATTCTCTAATCACATACTTTTTACTTTTCAACAACTTTCTTAAACTCTGTGAAATGAAATTGTCTGGATCTTATGGGACAGAGGGAGCATTACCAAAAGCAAAAGGGGATCCCACAAGGTCATTCCTCCAATTTTCCTTGGGTATTTCCTTGTTGAAATGTTAGACTCAAACTTTAATGGGTAAAAACAGTGTCATTGCGCCGGGGCGGTCTGTCAGGAATGCCTCCTGGCTTGAACTTTGAAGCTTCATGCCTAGCAAGTTCGGGAGGGACGCGACTGTTGCACTGGACGAGCATTTGTTTGAGGTCATAGAAGACTTGGGTGTCTTCAAGTGTCAAAAATGTGGTCGCGACACCAGTCTTGCCAGCACGCCCTGTTCGCCCAATACGATGTGTGTATCCCTCAATGCTATTCGGCATGTCGTAGTTAACCACATGTGCTACATCTGGTATATCAATCCCCCGGGCTGCAACATCTGTTGCAACCAACACGGTATACCTCTTTGTCCGGAAGCCTTCCAGGCTGATTTCCCTTTGTTCCTGTGACTTGCCACCATGCAATGTGGTCACTCTGTACCCTGCCTTGTCCAATGTCTTAGAAACAAAATCAGCTTGTTTCTTGGTATTGACAAACACAATAGCTGTCTTGTTGGAAAGTTCATCCAGTAGTTTCTGCAACCTGAAAGTCTTCTCAGATTCCTTAACCATTGTAACATGCTGGGTGATGAGGTCGGTTGCCTTCCCAGCAGTTCCTATGGTGACAACAACAGGGTTCCTCAGGTACTTTCTTGCGAGCCGTTCTACAGAAGTTGGCATGGTGGCACTGAACATATATGTGGTTCTATAGATCCTCTTCTCATCAAGCTCTTCATCCGCGTTCTCCGGTTTCAAGTTGCTAGAGGGCATGGCGTCCAGCACACCAACAACTTGTGGTTCAAAACCCATATCAATCATGCGATCGGCCTCATCAAGCACAACATAATTGCACTGGTTGAGAACACAATATCGTCTCTCCAGGCAATCAATGAGTCGGTTAGGGGTTGCGATGATAACCTCACAACCCTGTCTAAACCTCAAACCCTGCTCTTCAATGGAGTGCCCACCAACAATGGAAACGACTTTGATGCCCAAATAGTGCGCAAACTTCACAGTCTCGTCCTCTATCTGTTGGGCTAGCTCTCGCGTGGGAGCCATAACAACAGCATATGGTCCCTCTGCAGCATTTTCTTCACTCATGGGGGGAAGCCTTGAGATATAAGACAACATAGGGAGAACAAACGCGGCAGTTTTACCAGAACCCGTTTCAGCTACACCAATCACATCCCTCTGTTGGAGTCCGAGGGGGATTGCAGCCATCTGAATGGGAGATGGGGTCTTGTACCCAGCCCTATCGACAGCCTTGAGCAGCTCCGGGATCAGCTTGCTCTCTGTCCAGCTCCTCATGGGGCGGGGAATCTTTGAACCTTTGTAGGAGATGTTGAAATCCTCTCTAAAGATCCTCCAATCTCTCTCAGTCATTTCTTCAAGCTTCTTCTCAGACCAATGGCGATCCACCCTCATGTCAAAGGCTTCATACGAATCAGCTGCTTCCTCTTTTCTCCTGAGAGCGGCTGCTTCAACTGGTGTCTCCTCAGTCCCATCCTTCATCCGGACGTCTTCTAGAATCTCCGTCTCATTCTTAGCAGCCAGCTTCTTCTGTTCCCTCCGGTCCATCCCGGCCCGAAGACCACGGCCAAATAGCAATCTAGCCTCATGAGGGTTTTGATAGAGCGAGTTCATGTCACGGGAGGTGTCCTCCGTGTTCTCCCAATCGAATGAAAATCGAAACTTCTCACTAGGCTTAATGACTCGCTTCTTAGGTTTCTTAGATCCCAGGTACTGCTCCTTTATGGCTTCGAGCTCCTTCTCCCGCGCTCGATCGGCTGATTTCTCCGATCGAACACGCTCCCGTTCCTTGCCGTCATCCTCCGTCTCCCTCCCACGCCTCCGACGCTCTCTGTCCCTCTCACGATCCTTATCGCGGGAAGAGCGGGGGTAATCCCTGTCACGGTCGCGATCGGGATCGAAATAAGACCTATTGTTGTCTCTGGACGACGAGGCTGCTTCGCTGGAAGCGCGATCGGCGGCACGGCGTTTCTGCCCGGCAATTTCTTCCCGGCGGCGCTGGAGAGCTAATTGTTCTCTCTGAGCTTTCGTGAGGAATACTGGCTTCTTCACTCCGTCCGGTTTAGCTTCTGCCTCTTCCAATAGGGGACTCATATCTCGTTTCTCTGCGGAAACGGTTACATGCGTATTTGTTTTTCGCACAAATGAAACAATAGGGGTATTTAAACAGATGAATCCTAATTATAGTAGGATTCAAATATGGTAAATAGCCTAGGTTAGAAAACTTAATTATTAAAAAATATTCCCAATACTTCTTCCGTCTCTATTTTTTGTTATAAAATGGGAATTACGATGTAAAATCTTATAATTTTTGAAATCATTTTATTTAAAATTTGGTACATCAATAAAAAATAAAAGTTACATTTTAAAAACTACATCAAAAATTCTACAAAACAAAAGGTGATAAAAATATTTTATTTTATCAAATAATCAATAAAAACACATAAATAAAAAAAGTTATCGAGAAGAGAGCGAAACTAAAATTGTAATAAAAATGGAGACGGAAGGAGTATGAAAATATCAAATTAAGATTCCTAACACTTTTAAGACCAAAATAGAAATATAATAGTGTGATGTAAGAGTATGCATTATCAGTGTGATTAAAAATGATGACAATGTAATACGACAATGCAATCAGTCAATCGTTGGCGATCAATAGCGTCACTCTGGTGGGTGATTGTGATGTATGATAGTGTAACAGTTGCAATGTGACTATATTGTGAGTGTAACAGTGTAACAATGGTAGTGTGAACTCATATTTTGGTCTTAACAAACTTTGGATTCTTATTTTGGCATTTAGAAATCACCCTAAATAGGATTAAAACATAGAGAAAAGTATCAAAATAGGACTTTCATGTTTTTTTTCCCAAAATAACACTTCTCACTGTGGTAATGTGGTTGTAATGTAGCATTGTACATGTGCACATTACTATACTTTTTGGTAATGTACATGACCATGTTTAGTAATGTAAATGCATTTTAAGTTCTATTTGGAGAATAAAAACATGAAAGTCATATATTTTCAATGTTTTAGTCCTACTTTGGTCTTTCTCCCAATTTTAAGTGAATACTCTGGTGTCCTTTGTGGTTTTGGAAATGGGCACCGACACTTTTTTTTCTCTTTTTCTTTTTTATTGTTTCTCTTTTTTTTTTCCTTCTCTTTTTTCGTGAACGTATTATAAGTTCTTTTTTAAAACTTTGTTTTATAATATTTTTTATGTAAAATCGAACCAAGCCAAGCCACGAACTTATCTTCCGTTTTATCTTTAATTTTGGATGAAAACCGAACCGTCATAACTCATAACCGAACCTACCTCTACTTCTATGAAAAATAAACAAATTGAGGCAAAGTTAGATTGGATCAAATCCATATTGGTAATCGCAGCCCATTACGGAAAAGCCCGATGGGTCAAATTGGTCTTCTTCTTCTTTCTTTCTCCTATGCTTGTTGGACTTGACGACATTCACACCTATTCAGCTGAAGAGAAGAGAGGATAATGGCGTCGGGATGGGGGATCTCCGGGAACAAGGGCCGCTGCTACGATTTCTGGATGGATTTCAGTGAATGTATGTCCACTTGTCGCGAGCCTAAGGACTGCACTCTTCTTCGAGAAGACTATTTCGAGTGTCTCCATCATCCCAAAGAGGTTTTCTTCTTCTTCTTCTTCTTCTTCTTCTTCTTCTTCTTCTGAATCTGTTCTCCCGATTCTTTCTTTCATTTCATGTCTATCCAAGTTTGAATTTTGAGCTTTTGATTTTATACAAAGCGATTGTGTTTGTTAATAATAAGCCAACACTTGGGGATCTGAGAAGGGGCTCCAGGGTGTGTGCTCCTCCACTGATGAATTTAATTTTCAAGCATGAATGTGAAATTATTAAAATTTATTACCAGATTCAGAAAATTAGGGCAAAGTTATCCACTCTATGCAACTTGTATGTTTTTCTTCTTCTGTTATTTCATGGATCATTGATATTCTTAGCTGAGAAATCAATTCCTAAACCATTTGTGCTTTGTATATCTTTCCATTTTCCAATGTTTTATTGCTATTCAAAAGAGTCGATAGTTTTGCATTCTTTTTTTTTGTCATGAAATTTTAGGGCTTGTTTGGTTGGGAATGGATGGGATGAATGTTACACTACCCAAAATTTTATAGCCACACACACCCATGATAACCACATAAACTACAAAACACATCAATATCAATTTTCAAGACGGTTTGTGAGTTTTTGATTTTCTTGGAAATGACAATGTTTGACACTTGACATCTTGTTCCTATTAAACCATTTAAACTTGTTGAGATTTCATGAAGATTTTGGGATGCACGTATAGGTATTTTCGGGATCTTAGAACACGTTAAATATCCTTTCTTATTGATTTGAGCTGTTTTTAGCTAGCCAATTCTAACCCAAAGAGTTGCAAACTATTTCTGCGATGACCCTCTACGTGTTTAGTAAACGCTGAGAAGTGATTTTACTTTTTTTTGTGTGCTTTCAACTGCTAATTTGCTTAGGAGAAGAAGTATGCATTAGATTTTAAACTGGCCATTACCTTGTTTTCTGCTTGGCAAATATATAGTATACTTAGTAAGTAAATGCTGTAAATTATTCCATCTTTTTTTATTTGTAATTCTTTATCAATATAATATCTTTTCAAATATTAGTGTCAATCTCCACCCAACGAAATTACTGCCAATCCAATTTTAGCATATAAGAGTACTTAAATATAATGTTCAATAAGTACTCCGTATGATTTTTAAACAATTTTCTCTAAAAGGTATTCCATTCACGGCTAATATTTGTATTGGAAGTTCATACGAAACACAACCCTCATTGGTATTGATTATTGAATGAAATGTGTTGGGATCATTTAGATGGACCTCAAGCAGTCAAACTTCATGATCCATTGGAAGTAAGCACAATGATGCCATTCTTGCAGAGGGAATAGACGGTTGTGGGATTTTAATAGCATCTTGAAAAACATGAATCTTTCGATGCACATACTTTTGATTTAAACTTAGGAACCAATAATTTGGCAAATCATTCAAAATTGGCCTTTCATCTTGAAGACCACTTTTCGAAACCATGAAAAGTTCTTTTTAACCACACTTATATTCTTCTGTATTCTACACCAAATGAGGATTTCCTGTTATTGCAGTTTCAGCGTAGGAACCGGGTATACAAGGAAGAGCAGCGTCAGCTAAGAGCAGCTGCACAGAAGCAGAAGGAAGGTGCAAATGGTGGCACAACTCCCCACTGATTGTCAATATTTTCCTTTTTTTCCATATCTGGTTTTTGAAAGCAAGTTGAAGTGGATGCTTTGGAAATAAAAAAAGAACTCACTAAACCAGTTGTACTCTGTATTGCATGGAATGATGCAATGTTAAAACCATCCATTACTGGTTGCTGCAAGTGTATTGATAACACCATCTGTTGTAATATACCCTCTTTTTTTGTGTGCAAGAGGCTTCCTTTGGGGCCCTCTTAATAGGGTTTCTCTAGAGCTTCTATTTTTTATTGGTTGTTTCTATTTGATTATTCACATTATTTTATAAATCTTGTTTGTGAAAACATTGGTGTACACCAAGAATGATCCTTGTTTTAATGTGACAAATCTTTTTCCTGAAATGGGGGTTTAGGCAATACAATATAGTCCCTTGTCTCAGAAAATTTTTCTGGTTTTGACATTTTTTGATCCACAAATTAAACATAATTTTACTTCGTAATAAATAAATGTTACTCCGTACTATAATTCGTTATATCAAAACTCTATCTTAGGATAAACCCAATTGTATTTTGTTTACATTAAAATTATATACTATGATATACGGAGTATATATTTATCACAATGTGTAGTCAAAGAATATCACTATTTGACCAAAAAATCAAAACCAAAAAGATTTTCTGGACAGAGGAGGGATTGAGGGAGATTATGAGTCTTTAACCTTGTTAAGATACAAACATGCATATATACAATAACAATAAATAACACAGATGATTCGATTTTCTGGATGGCAAGTTCTATGGATAGGAACCCATAATTTGGTAATTGAAGATGAGAGATTTAGCACTACTTGACAAGTTCACATTGCAGAATGATATTGTACACAACGGCCCTTCAAGCCGCAAAGATACTTCATGTTTGACGACGACTTTTTTCTTCGCAATGGCGTTTTCCCAGGGGTAGGAAGTGGGGAAATCTCTTGGGGAGTTACATTAGTCTCTTCGCCATTGCTTTTGGAGCGCTTGTCGAGCCAAGAAATGATGTCTGAAAACACAACCTCAATGTTGTGGTCAGGCTCGCCGGATGTGAGGCCGTGCCACATTTCTGGGTACAATTTGATTGTCTTGTCTTTGCTGCTTGCTTGCTCATACAATGCCTTGCTCACCTCTGGGTCTGTCACCGTGTCTGCTTCACCGTGTAGCACAAAGAAAGGGAACGTAACCTGTCAAACGATATCAAGAACAATAAGCTTAGGTTCTTTTGACAGCCGTGTTGGGTGTTATATTATGACACTCGGGCGCTATGGCGCTTTATTGGCCTCCATAATGGGTCCTCTCTCCCATAAGTTATATTATGAGAAACAGCTGTAAATTTAGCTAGATTCGGATCAAACCAGATAAGACAAAACTTTGATAACATCAGGTCAGATCCAATTAGATAAGACGAAGATAGCCACTTCTTAGATTCCGCTTTTGACAAATGCACGAGAAAGATATATATAGGGATGCTGACCTCGTGTAAACTTTCTTCAAGGCTCATGCTAGTTCTCAGCACTTCTAGAGCTGTTTTCAATCTCGGCTTCTCTTGGTATATCAGCTTGTTCCCCCTTATCTATGTATTAATGACATTCATTTACAACAAAGAATGGGCAGACTTTAGAAATCTAGAACAATGATTTGCATGAATCAAACTCACCTCTTCGCGTTTCACGGGATCTTTGAATGCGGAATCTATGATGTCTTTCGTGGGGACTATTTTCCACTTTGGGATGACGTCTTCAACTTTAGTTAGGACGCTTATGACTAGAGGATGAGGCTTCACCTTCTCCGATATCTAAAAGGGTAAGACCGGTAAAAAAACAACAATAATGTAGGGTTTAGGGAGGGTGTGTGTACGCAAACCCAAGGGTAAAGCCAACATGGTATTTAAGAATATGTTCAAACTTAATCCAATCTCAAAAGAGCTCTCACGAGGTGATGATAATACGACACTAATATGGGATACTACCATTCAACATGTATGAAATCATATCAATAGAAGTAGATCTTAATTCATTCTACCTTGCACATAGGAGCAACAAGAATTGCACCGTGCCAAAAAGAAGGATCCATTTTGTGTATTAGAAGGGTTACTGCCCCTCCCATTGATTCCCCATACAAAAATCTTCTCTTCTCTCTGTACTCATCTAGTGCTGCCATCCAAAACAACAAACTTTACGCTTGTCGAAAAACAACTAAAAGATGGCTTAAACAAGAACAAGAATCAAAATCGCAATTAGCAGTCACGATAATAAGCAAAAGCACAGCTTACCACATATGGATTTGAAGAAGAGATTGCAATCGTTCACAATGTTATCAAACCTTTTGATGTAACAACGAGAACCCATTGACCGTCCATGCCCTTCATAATCAATTCCAAACACGGCATAGCCATAGCTCGCTAGCTTTGTCCCAACACCTAGTTATTATTATTATTATGCACACACACAAAAATATTGTTAAAAACTTAAAAGTATTCCACATTGAGAAATTACTCATATTTGTTTTCCCCATCATATAATAAAGTTGTTTTTTTAGGTTTAAAGGTTGAAAATTAAATGTATTTCTTATATGTTCTTAGACTTATTTAAAGTAGAGTAAGGTCTGTTTGACCAAATGCCTCCTAGCTGTATATTAAGATAGTGATGTGCCTTTAAATTAGTCAACCAAAGAGGCACAGTAGATGAGCTACAATTCCAAAGTAACATTTTTTTTGTAGCATTGTTTACCACAACATTATATTTGCATTATCTGCTTGAATAAAAAAATACAGTAATGAACATCTTTTTTATTAGTTTATAGACAATGATGATAGGTTTGGGGATAAGGTCTGATTTAAATATAATATATACATGTGGCGATCCTTTGATGAAAGCCCATTCTCATTGACTCCCTCCCCCCATACTTTAATGCTTTATTTCTACACCATTTAATAGTATATTCACAAAAATCTCCACTTTTTCTGTCTAAACAAATTTAAACCATAAAGTTTTCATTTCTCAACACTTAAAATCACTGAAAATCAAACAAAGGAAGATTTTTACAAGACAGGGGAGCAGTAAAATTGGGACATTCATTTAAATAGATGGCAAATTTGGTTGTTTTTCTAGGATTACTGTGGGGGTAAAAGAGCAGATTTAAAAAAGTAAAAAAAAAAAGTGGGTATCATTGGAAAGAATTATTACCTTTCATGAAACTACTGCATTCCATGCCATACCCTGATAAAATATAATCTCTTTAATTAGCAAAAATTACTTTTTTTTTAAATACAGTGTAAAAAAATTAATATATTAAAAAAAGATGGCAGTGGAGGATGGAGAAGGAGACCATGGCAAAGGAAAACAAGGGCTTTTGGAGAAGGGAAGGGAAGCCATCTGCAAGTAAAGAGCTCAACTCCTCTGCAATTCCTTACATATTCCTGAAATTAAACAAATAAATATTCATAATTCAATACTAAAATAAGAAAATAGTTGCGAGTATTATTTCAGGAAAAAAGAAGAAAATAAACATGCAATGGAAGATGGAGAAACCTCGTGATATTCGAAAGCCATAGGCTTTTTTTTTTCTCTTTGGGAGAGATAAACAGAGAAACCCAAATTGTTGCGAGTATTATTAACGGCACAAAACTATGGAACTGAGCATTCGCAGCGTGAAGGAATTTAAAGAAGAGATCTGCGTGACGGTGAAGTGGCAGATGGTTTAATTAGTGCGGCGAGTGCGGTGGCGGCGGTACGGTGGTGGGCGGCGGCGGAGTAGTGTGAAACTGCGATTTTGGTTCGGACCGTTTTTGTTTCGTAAATTTATTAAGAGGAAAGAGATACAGCACGAGTGAAGGTTCCAAATATGGTATGTGACGTATGGGCTTTGCCCATCCCTTTGCTCCACAAGTTCTCGCACCGTTCATAAATAAAAAAAGTATATTTAGTTACTCCCTATAATATAAATTTAGTTAAATTTAGTTCATTTAAAAGATTTTTTGTTTTGAATTTTGACATTTTCAACTTTTTTTAAAAAATTACTCTAAATAGGAATAAAAAATAAATAAAAATATTAAAATAAGAGTTTCATGTTATTATCCTCAAAATAAAAATTTACTACTTCCGTCCCAGAGTATTTATCCATTTTCATTTTTACACATCATCCAATACACTTCTTTAATCCATTTTATCTTGTAATTTGTATATTAAAAAATTATAGAAATTATATATTAATAATCTATATGTTAAGACAAATCAAACAAGATCACACATGACTATATTTAGGCTTACACATTGAGAGAATTTGATGAGTCAAAGTGCTTAGATGAACAGTTCCAAAAGTCAAAAGTGGACGAATATAGTGGGAC